GTATTATATCAGCAACAGCATTGAAGAAATATTGTTTTTGAGAAGCAATGCCATGCTTAATCATAACACTTTTTCATGTTTACAATATATATAAAATAGCTTGGCTTGAAGTGGATATTTGACATGCAGAGCGTCAGCATCAACATGCTTGTGCTCATTAATGGCAGAACTTTTTATAGAATGATTTTTTTTTTTAAGGGAAACAGCACTGTCCAAAAACAAAGTAGATAAGGTAATATACAGAACATTCTCTAGCATATGTTTTTTTTTAATTTGATAAAAAAAATATATCGTTTCTGGCATATTTCTCATTTGCAGTAGATTTGTAAAGTATTCAGACCCCCTTCACATTTTTTTATTTTGTTATGTAGCAGCCTGATACTACAGTTGTTTAAATTCATTTTTCTTCAGTATTCCATAATGACAAAGTGAAAACAGATTTTTAGAAATGTTAGTATATATATAAAATAGGAAAAACTGAAATATCACATTGGTATAAGTATTCAGACCCTTTGCAACAACACTTGAAATTTAGCTCAGGTGCCTCTCATTTCTCTTGGTCTTTGTTGAGATGTTTGTACACCATGATTGGAGTCTATTTGTGATAAATTAAACTGATTCGGAAAGGCACACACCTCTCTATAAAAGTCCTCACAGCTGACAATGTATACCATATTGGCGTATTATCCATGAGTTCAAAGGAACTGCCTACAGAGCTCAGATACAGGATTATTGCAAGACACAGATCTGGGGAAGGCTACGAAAAATTCAATAATCCTCAAATGGAAGAAGTTTGGCTTAATCGGGACTTTTCCAAGAGTTATTCACCCGGCCAAACTGAGCAATTGGGGTAAAACGGCCTTGGTAAGAGAGCTGCCCAAGAAAGCAATGGTCACTCTGAGCTCCAGAGATCCTGTGTGGAGATGGGACAAAGTTTAGGAAAGATAACCATCACTGCAGCCCTCTGCCAATCTGGGTTTTATGGCAGAGTGGCTAGAAGGAAGACTCTCCTCAGTGCAAAACACATGAAGGCCTGCTTGGAGTTTGCAAAAAAAAAAAACACCTGAAGGACTCTGACTGTGATGAACAAGATTCTTTGGTGTGATGAAAGCAAGATTAATACTGTTTGCCCTGAATTCTAAACGATATGTCTGAAAGAAAATCGGGCACCGTTCATCACCTATCCAATACCATCCCAACAGTGAAACATGGTGGTGGCAGCATCATGCTATGGGGGTAATGTTCAGCTACAGGGACTGGGAGACTGGTCAGGGTTGAGGGAAAGCTGAATGGAGCAAACTACAGACATATCCTAACTGAAAACCTGTTCCACAGTACTCAGGACATCAGACTGGACTGAAGGTTCACTTTTCAATATGACAACGATCCTAAGCACACAGCCAAGACAACACAGGAGTGGCTTAGGGACAACTCTGTGAATGTCCTAGAGTGGCCCAACCACAGCCCTAACTTGGACCCTATTGAACATCTCTGGAGAGACCTGAAAATGGCTGTCAACCGACAGTCCCCATTCAGCTTGACTGAGCTTGAGAGGATTTGCAAAGAAGAATGGCAGATAATCTCCAAATCCAGGTGTGCAAGGCTTGTTGCATCATACTCAAAAAGGACTCAAGGCTGTAGTTGATGCCAAAGGTGCTTCAAAAAGTACTAAGTAAAGGGTCTGAATACTGAAGTACATGTGATAGTTCAGTTTTTCTCTTTTTAAGAAATTCACAGACATTTCTAAAATTATGTTTTCACTTTGTCACTATGGGGTACTGAATGTAGATTAATGCAAAAAAAAAAATGAATTTAAACAACTGTATCAGGCTGCAATATAATAAAATTGAACTAAAGTGAAGGGGGTCTGAATACTTTATGGATGCACTGTAAATGAATGAAATCGTAGCACAGAGAATTGCCTACAGTGTTTCCACTATCAGTAGTAGTCTTTTTCTTCACCTGTAACACAATATCATTATTATTATTATTATTATTATTATTATACAGTATTTATATGGCGCCAAAGGGTTTGCTCAGCGCTGTACAGTAGCAAGGGGGACAGAACATGAGACAAGACAGTAACAATACAATACACGAGGGGTTCGAGGGCCCTGCTCTTTCGAGCTTACAATCTAGGAGGGAGGGGAAGGTGGTACAGGAGGAAATGGCTGTGGGTGATGGAGTGGTGGGAGGAGTGGAGGAGGTTAGTTGTTAGGTGAGGTTAGGTGAGGTTGGGGTAGGCTTCCCTGAATGGCGGTGCCATTCGCATTGAATGGCACCCCAATGCAGCTCCACAATGCATAGCAGCACACCGCAATGCACTGTTCGCATTGCAGTCCACTGCAGACATATTCAGTGCGCTAAATGTTTGCATCTTCAGATTTTGCTGTACAAAAAATGCAGTGTGATTCAGTCCTTAAAAGCAGAAGGCTACAGGATATTTTTTTATATGTTTTTTTTTTTCTCCCTTAAACTTTCTTTTTGTAGCTCTCTTTTCCCAATGACCCATTGGTGTAATAGCTACTCTAGGTGCCATGAAAACATGCAGAAAGGAAGAGACAGAATGTAAACATGACTCTACCTGATGGAGTTCAGTTTTGTTGTCTTTTTTGGAACACTCCTTCTCTATAGTTCTGTAACCTTGTATATCAAGATTTATTGACTGCGTTTTCCTGGGAAATACTGTAAAATACCATTTTCATTCAGTGAAACTGCTGTTTCCTTCACACTGCAGAGCTCTGTGTTCACTGAGCTAAATAACAGCCACACCCCTTAGAGCAGAAGTCTTCACACAGACTTAGAGAGAGTCTGCCTGACTTTGCCTATTGAACTTCAGTCACATTTAAACACCCGCACAGCATCTGTAACAGGAAAGGAGAAATAAGACTATGGAAATGATGGTTGTTAATACAAAGTATATCTGACTGCATATCTATAGAAGTTGCATGAGTGAGAATCCTTTTTAATGGTCAGGAAAGGTGGGTGGCAGCATAAACTCATATAAGGAGATTTCATTTCTAGAGTTACTGTAAGACACTCCATGCACAACCATCTTAGTTTTGGTGGAATTTCCCCTTTAAATGTAAGCTCTGTGAAAATAGGCATTTTTGGTTTCAATGCAATATGGTGTTTTGAATTGTCCCGCTATTTTGTTTCTTAATGGCATGTGTATATATATGTTTCATATTATATGTAGGTTTCATTATTTAATCCCTCTTTAGATAATTTTCTTTCAATTGAATCAAAAAGGAACAGGCTCAACAGGTTGAAAATATTAAATATAGTTTTATGTATGTACTTGATGCAGCTGCATTGAGTTACATTAAACAGTTTTCTGTTAGTTTTCTTACAATATGTAAAGAAAAACTGAAGATTTACTGAAATTATTCAGAATTTTAATTTAAATTTTATATAAAAAAGGAAACTGCAAAGGCGTGCGACATGAAAAAGAAAAAAAAAAGAAAGCAAAATTAAGGCAAACCTGATGTATATGTGACCATCTTGACACATTTATTCAACCAGACCTCCTCCTAGTAGTCTCTGCCCCTCCCACAGGCCCAAAGTGAATGTGTTGGGGTGTTTCAAATGGACCCCCCCTTTGTCATTTATACAATTTAGGTATAATCCTTCAGGTAATCCTGAGGCCATCACTTGGCTTGGTAATGGCTGAGCAGTTGGGTAGATCTTTGTATTCTGGTGGCCAAGTCTCACCATTAAGGTTCCCAAGAATTGTAAGAAGCTTCTATGTGAATCAGCTTCTTAGTTACCATGCAATATGTAAGTATTAGTTGAATTTACCTTTAAAGCAGTCCTCCTTTATTATAATTCACTGGAAAAAAGATATTGGGTTTATAAACAAATGATGTGCACTAAGGATTTTTTATACTAATATTAAAAATGCAACCTATTATTTTTAAAGCAAATTCTCAGCTACCCTTACCATGCTTCACATATTGCTGGTGCAAAGCATTTTTTTTTTTCTTCCTGCAGACAGTAAAACAAGAAAAAGCAATTACACTTTTCAGAACATCTGCAAAATATTTGCTGAGCATGAAAATGTTTATCTGAGGTATGCAGAGTACAAAGAAAGATTTCCCGTGCGCCGGCGTAATATAGCTGTGTGCCGCAGCAGCTCAGTTCACACCTTATCATAACTTACAGACTGTCTTCCATTTAATCACTCCGCCTCTGAACATGTTCACTGCATAAAAAAAAAAATGAATCATTTCAATTTTTATATTGACTAATGGCTTTACAAGAGCCACCCAGCAATGTCAAAATATTTCTACAAGGTCTGCCGTAGTTTTACTTTATGATGCATAACTTTGAGTATTAACTTTTAAACTGGTTGACAAAAAAATAGTATTAAGTACTTTTTTTTCTTTTAGAAAGTCAAAGATTCTGCAGACCTGAATCATCTGCAAAGCCTCTAAAGCAGTGGTTCTCAACCTTCCTAATACTGCGACCCTGTAATACAGTTCCTCATGTTGTGGTGATCCCCAACCATAAAATTATTTTCCTTGCTACTTTAGAACTGTAATTTTGCAGTGGGAGGAGTAGTGCCACATCACTAATGTCAGTGGGAGGAATAGTGTCCCATCATTGGTGTCAGTGGAGGGAGGAATAGTGCCCCATTGTTGGTGTCAGTGGGGGGAGGAATAGTGCCCCATCGTTTGTGTCAGTGGGGGGAGGAATAGTGCCCATCGTTGGGGTCAGTGGGGGGAGGAATAGTGCCCCATCGTTTGGGTCAGTGGGGGGAGGAATAGTGCCCCATCGTTGGGGTCAGTGGGGGGAGGAATAGTGCCCCATCGTTGGGGTCAGTGGGGGGAGGAATAGTGCCCCATCGTTGGGGTCAGTGGGGGGAGGAATAGTGCCCCATCGTTGGGGTCAGTGGAGGAAATAGTGCCCCATCATTGGTGTCAGTGGAAGGAATAGTGCCCTATCATTGGTATTAGTGACACCAAAGATGGGGCATGATTCCTCCCACTGGCACCAATGATACTTACCTTGCTGACCCCTGCTCCAGCCTGAGCTCGCTCCCTCCCTATCCCATCTACAGCCAGCATACCTGGCTGCAGCAGCACCATCTGCACAGTACAGACACTTACCGGTCAGCTGTCTTCCTTCTCTGGCCGCTCTCCTCTTCACTCGCTCTGGCAGCTCCCTCACTTGATCTTCTTTGATCTTCACGGTGCTGCTTGGCTCCTCCTCTCCAAGCTCCACCTCCTTGCCGGTGATTGGCCGCCTGTGTGCCTTTCCTGAGCTACAGTTCCGGTGGCCACTCACAGGCGAGGAGGTTGAGCTGTTGAGTGATCCCGGGGGTGTGGCCAGATGACAGGACATGTCATCCCACCCACACATCGCGGTCCAGGGAAATGTGGGCGTATCTGCATGTGGGCGGACCCGCCTGGAGATGGATAGAGGAGCTGTGTGTCTCGTTTCAAATATGTGTTTTCCGATGGTCCTAGGCGACCCATGTGAAAGGGTCATTCAACCCCCAAAGGAGTCGAGACCCACAGGTTGAGAACTGCTTCTCTAAAGGCCATCTACAGTATATTACACTTTTTAGTGTTAATTTAGGTATTTTCATTGAGCACACATTTTTATTTGTTATGGCAATGTTTTGTTTCATAAAGTATTTAATTCTTTTTTAAAAGGACTTTTGGAAGGGTAGGAAGGTATCACATGTATTTGGAGGGTATTGATGCACAGTATTCTACTCACATGCACAGAGGAGCCTGCATTTTCAAGTTCTTACCTGAAGTGTTCTTGAAGAAGAAGGAGCACCATACCATAAGATTGGAAACCACAATGCATTTATTCCATCATTATTGTAAATCAGCCTACACGCTTTCTAAACAAAGGTCCTTCAGATTTTAGGAGAGCTGGATTATAGCCAGTGGGGGTGGCAAATATCCTGGATTCAGTGGGAATAAACAATGCCTCCATGCTTTATGGTCAGTGGGAGTATAGAATTACATAGCACCTTTGGTCAGTAAAAGGAATAGTGCCCTATCATTGATATGTTGAAGGAATAGTGCCCCATTGTTGGTGTCAATGGCAGTAATTATGACCCACTCTCCGTACTCCACTGGAACCTCTCCCTATCTTTGGCACTGTCCCTGACAGAAGAGAAACCTGTGTCTACCCTGTCTACTCACAAAAAGCATGCCAAACCCAGGGGTCAAAGACTTAAATATACTCTGCTGACCTAAGGTGGCCACCAGGGTCACATGGGGCTTGTGCATCCAACTATATCACTGTCCTGATTGCTGAGGAAATCATAGAGAAACACAGCTTCTCTAAACCTCCTCTCCCATCTGCATTGCTGCTGCAGTCTAGCGCCACTTGCAGTGGAAAACAAGACTGCACCTGCCTACATATATATTGATGAAAATATTTATATCCAACCCCAGTGGCATGCATCCCTTTTTTTTTCAAGCATAGATAATTTCTCTGTCATTTATAACTAGCTTACCTTATTGAAACTATGCAAAAATCAGCTTTACTGTGTTCAAATAAAGTTTTCTTTAGTTTTCTCAGAGGTGATAAAACATGAGAAAGCTGTGGTATGCAATTGGTCATTCCTGGAGATGTTTTCAGCTGTAACTGGCTTTCGGATGGACCTACTGTATGTGAGAAATTGCTGAGACTTTATCTAGTTTTAGGCCTTCTGATGACAATATATACCTGAAATATTTGACTTTTCCTACTCCTAGTTTGTGTTTTTCTGCACTGAATTTATCTCCTCCTTCCATGAATTTTTCAAGCGTGGTTTTCAAATTGCAGTCATGTTCTTCAATAGTGCTGCCAAACACTAAGAGATCATCCACATAACAGACTTAGCACTTCATCTGTTTCAGTCATGAGTTTTAATTGTGCCTGAGTTGCTTCATGGGTTTTTGCAATATCAATTGCTTTGCTTAGAGTAAGATCAGTTCCTTGAATTATTCAATTCTTCTGCACTTTGTGGGAGTTTGTTCCAAATACAAATTCCACCATGCATCATTTCATCAGTATCGGTGAACACACAGTCTCTGTGAGTTTAAGGTCTGTTGTAAACTATTCACTTGGTTCCTTTACACTTTCCTAATGAGTTTTCTGAGAGAAACTTTCTGTCATTGGGGGTTCACATCTTTCTATATTGATCTATGTTTGAACTGCTTGATCTCTTTTTGCTGACATGTCCCCTTGTGAGTTGAAAATGCCCATGTCTTTCCTCAACACATTTTAGGAAATAACACTTTCTTCTTTTGTTTTTCTTTGAGGGACATTGACACTGAGATCAGTATGTTGTGTAAACCTTTACTGTTGATAACAAAAGGTTTAAACTGTTCCAGATCATGCTGGGTGGTTATGTGCAAGCAAACTTGCATGTTCTGTGAAAGCTTGTGGCTTTACCATGTATTTACAGATCCTTGCTTTGCAAACAGAATATGACATGGTGCCAGCTGGAGATCTTTTTGCAATGTTTGTATGCTTGGCATCAGGAGATATGCTGCCACATCAAACTTTTTTTTTCAAAAAGAACAACAACATAGTTTAAAGTGTATTCAAGGTGTTTTATATTTATCATTCTAGTACAGGACACACAAATTGATACATAGACCTTAGGATATATAGTGACATCGTACGGCAATTGGACACAGGCAAAAGATTAGCTGGCCTTTCCTAATGTCCCCATATAACTCTGTCCATCCCATGGGGCTTCAGTTTTTTGCTAGTTCTTAGATGAAAGATGCCTTTTCCTCTTGGAGAAGAATTTCCTACTATTTTGTAATCGGGTTTATTTGCATTCTCCAGTAAACACTTTTCTATTAATAGCAGCTTCCGGACTGGAGACCCTCAAGACACCTTGGGAACTGTTCCTGGACCCCATGGCAGTGGCGACACCCTGTAATGGTTGCTTTGGGAACTAGAACTGAAATAGGCACCCACCTTGGCATGTGGTGCAAAAAGTATAGTTAACTGCTGGATGCCATACAGGTCCAGGGCTTTGGTCCATTCCTATGACGCCCAGACCCTGAAAACTTTGAGGCTATGACCACCATAAGGATAAAAGCCTGGACCCTGAACAAGACCAGTGATGCTGACAAGATAAAACAGGGTTCCCCTGTACCCTTATGCAAGGTAAATACTGGTTTATGGCTTGTATGCCTTGATGGCCCTGTAGTATAGACCACATTTTTATCTTCCAAGACATACTGCAGGGCTATGCACACAAGCGGTTCTTAGGGCAAAGGTGTTGGGGAACTTGCAGTTTTGTTTTTCCAGAACTTTCACTATTCAGCTATCATAGCATTTACCTATTCAAATTTGGCAGTATTTTTCAACCTCCTTACCAGGAACTTCTCTACAGCTAATGACTTATAAGACTCCGAGCTCCACACTTAGATTTTTTGCCAACAATGCAAGTGATCATTTGCCACCCCGCTTTTGCAAGGTTGCAAGGAGACATAGCGATCAGAACTCTGTTAGTGCCTGGGTTGCCATGGTAGCCCTAATATCTGACATGCTGAACCTCCTTAATCAACATCCATTCCATGAGTTTCCCACAGGGAAAGACTGTCACTTGATAATGGAGAATTACAGGTGCTTCTGAGCAGGAACACATGGGACATACAGCAGTGAGTCTGCCAGAGGAGGAAGCTCCAAGTTTCTCTCACGTTGATAGTGGTTATCTCATCTCGGGCCAAGGTCTAACATTGACTCCACTTCATCCCCTAACTCGGGTTCCCTTATGTCCATGTCACATGGGATCTGTCTGATTAAAAAGGCAGAATTTACTGCCACTATGTCTAATCTTTCCAGTGGCTATCACCACTTCTTTAATTAGTGAGGGCTATCGGCAGCAAACGATCTTCTGCCTCACCTCTCTCTGACCCTATGCATGGTTCTAAATCAGAATTGCCTGACAAACTTGCTGTGGCAGAAGACAAGGGAGTTGCAGACTTTCTGGCAAAGATGGCTCTTGATGTTTCACCAATACAATTTAGGGAAGTTGCTTCCTTAGCCTCTCACCATATGCTGCCTATATGTGGCATATTGATTGAGGCAGTGCATACTGGTCTGTAGGTAAATATGCCTGGCACTGCACAATCCCACATGTTCAAAAATGCAGAAAAATGGCTTTTTGTAGAAAGCCCTTTTCTTCTCTAAGGCAAATTAGGCCTTATACAACAATCATCCCCCCGACTATTTCAAAACCTTGTATCCTATGGATAGCAAGAAAAAAGGTACGACCCTCTGTGGATCCAGCCACTATTGCACTGAATGTTCAATCTACCATTTTTTTGAGGGTACCCCTTTCTTTAAAGATTCAGTGGGTAGGCATTTGGAGACTCTTCTAAAATTCTGCTTTGCACTTGCAGGCCCTGTCCTACTGCAAGCCATTGTCACCCTAGCCTCTTCCCAGACTGTAGTTAACTGGACTGGGGGAAATCAATAGTGATATTTCCCCTGTTGTAGAAATCCCACTTTCTTCAAGATTGCAACTCTTGTCCTCTGCCTTACTGTTCCGTGTAGACGCCATGGAGTATATGATTCGTCAGATCTTCAGAATGTCTTTACTTTCTATGCATATGTGCAGAATCATTTAGCTTAAAGATTGTGGCGGCTGAGGGGTGACTGATGTGGTATGGGAAAAATGACTTTTGTGCATGCACAGTAAGCTTCTCTTTGGCAATTTTGTTGAAGAATACATTGAGGCAGCTACTGAAGGGAGTGGGTTTAGACCACATTAACCACAATCACAATTTCCCCATCAAATGGATATCTCCTACCTTATTGATTTAATCTGTCTGCCCCCTCAGGCACCATCATTTATCTTGTGGTCATTGCAAACTTTCCCCCTCAATAACACCAGAGCTCCTAAAAAGCCTTCCTCACACTAAAGATTCTTCCCCTTTTTAAAGCCAAAGGGGTTGCTATTGACACCCCAACGTTAAACAATGACCTAGAACTTTCTAATCTGTGTGTTTGTTCCAGGTCACTTACTACAAAAGTACTGAAGCCAGAGACAGGCATATAGCATTGTGAGGTTGACAATGGTAGCCCATATATCTCTCATAGCAGATGTTTCCTTTAAAGCCTAACTCCGACTTTATCACTGTAAATAGTTGGATTTGGGCCAAGCTGGCCCAAGCAAACAATTTTCTTTACTAATACATGTGGTTGCTATCAGTGCTGTATAAACTGTATGTACCCCTGTAACCAAGTCACCTGGGTGAAAACCGGTTAAACTGTATGTAGCATTGCATCCATACACTACACCGTATGTGTTCCAGCAACTCTACCAGGATATCCCATCTGCTGCCAGAACAAAATCAAGTTAGGCTGAACTCTGCTCAGCCATTCACAGGATTCTTGTTTTTTT